ATACATGTTGGATTTTCTGCATATTTTGTTTAAATACCACGCTGTCATAAAATATATAGTTTAATAATACTGTAATAGCTGTTCGAGAAGGGTACAGTAATTACTCTCGTATTGTCCCTCGGCTTGGAAACGAAAATGGTCAACTTGGGAGAAGGAGAGACGCGATTATTCGATCATTGCGACTCGTTTTCATAGTCGTTGATAATCGAGATCTATAAAAACGAGTCGCAAGGCACGAATAATCGTATCTCTCCTTCTCCCAAGTGGTCCATTTTCGTTTCCAAGCTGAGGGACAATGCGAGAGAAATTACTGTATCCTTTTTGAACAGCTATTATAGTATTATTAAACTATATATTTTATGACAGAGTCGTATTTAAACAGACTTTATTCAGTCCGTGTCTCCTTCTCTCAACATTGTTCATTTTCATTCTCAAGCTGGGAGAGGGGGCGGGGGACGGGCAATGCGAGGGAAATTACAGAAATATACTTTGATATTCTTTGTTAAATTAAATAAATAAATATTCCATAACAGCATCGTAATTAAGCGAAATACCAGCATACTTCTCAAAGAGATCGCAACAGCAATTGTTTAAGGATCGTCGAAACGAGTATACCCGAACAACACAGACCGAATCTCCGAGGAAGAACCGCGGCGATCGTAGTACCGAAGGAACGAACATTTTCCCGGGGAAGAGATCGGTAATAGAATTCGGGACCGTATCCCGCTGTCCGCAAATCCATTAGCCTAATCCGCCAGCATCCTCGATCGTCGGAACCAGGGTGGTTCAGGGTCGAATGGGTTCTCTCTACTACCCAGGAAAATCTTTCTAGGCCGTAACCAGATCGAGCACCGCCGGCAGATCGTTTTATCGGGCCGAGGAAGAACCTCGTAGCCGCTGACTCAGTCCCTCGGTTTCCCATTTTTATGCGGTGATCGTAACTCAGCGGATCGGCTCGTAAAACGGCTCCATGCTGCCTGATTCGAATGTTGCGCGTCGGTTTTTATCGCTTAATGCCCGCTGGGAGGGTGGAAGCGCATCGGGCCTGATAAAACAGCTGGAGAGAGAGATAGAGATAGAGATAGAGAGAGAGAGAGAGACAGAACGCGAGAGAGAGAGAGCGCGCGAGAGAGAGAGAGGGCGCGACTGAGAGAGCGCGAGAGACAGAGCGCGAGAGAGAGAGAGGGCGCGACTGAGAGAGCGCGAGAGACAGAGCGCAAGAGACAGAGCGCGAGAGACAGAGCGCGAGAGCGAGAGAGAGCGCGAGAAATCGAGAGAGAGAGAGAGCGAATAAGAGAGCGCGAGAGACAGAGCGTGACAGATAGACCGCGAGATCGAGAAAGAGCGCGAGAGACAGAGCGAGAGAGAGAGAGAGAGAGAGGAGAGAGAGATGCTGCAGATCGGATACAATCCGCGTGAAACGTTGCTTGGCTCGGCGTTTGCTCGGAGAACGCCGACTTCCGGTCTGCCCTCGACAGGACAGGCCGATTCCGGTCACGTATCCGTAAAACCGGCGACCAGGCTCGCGAGAACTAGATAGAAATCTAGAGAATGAGGGTCAGCGGAATTCCGAGGAGGAATTGTCCTATGGACAAGGCCCTCTCGATCCAAGATAGCCGGCCAGGCGGAAATCGGTCTTTTTCCTACCACCTTTCGATTACTATTAGCTTATTCTTGTACGCTGTTCCGAATCGTGTTCGAAAATTCGATGATTTCTAGTACAATAAATTTGCACCTCTTTGTGCCGAGTGTCTCTTTTACTTTGGAACCGGACTTACCGGACAGTGGCATGCATAATTATAGACAGAAAGTGACTTTTCCATTTTTACCGATATTTAAACAATGATATATTTGTACGTTTGTATTTACTATTATTTCTAATATTATTTTTAATATTATTTCTTATAATATTTCTACTATTATTTTTAATATTATTTCTACTTTTGTTCCTAATATTATTTCTAATATTTTTAATATTGTTTCTAATATTATTTTTCATATTATTTCCAATAGTATTTCTAATACTATTTTTAATATTATTTCTACTATTATCTCTAATATTGTTTCTGATATTATTTTTCATATTCTTTCTAATATTATTTTTCATATCATTTCTAATATTATTTCCAATATTATGTCTATAATATCCTAATTCCATATTTCTAATCTATTCTATATCGTGAAAATTGCCCGATCGCCGAACAAACGAAACGAACGAACAACAAAGTTACCCGACGAACCGGTTAATTAAAGCAAACAGCGCGGGCCTGCGCAAAGGGTCGACCAAATTGATTCGCGACTGATAAACGTTTCTCAAGGGTGTGAAACCCCGTCTGTAGACGGGGCGGGCCCGAGGCGCTCAAACAGGTTTCTCCATAATTAAGAGAAATCGCGGATTACCACCGGCACGCCTAATGCAACGCGTCCGAGCGATATTAACGAGCGTAGCCGGGAAGTTCGGAGATTACGGCGGTGGGGCTAGAATCCACTTTAAAGTCTGCGTTCTTCGGCCGGTATCCGAGAATTATGAATTTCCTTGGCGGAGAGCGGACGGGGAGAGCGATCTCTTATTAAAAGCTCCGATTTATTTTGTGTCCGGCCAGAGCGAGCGAGCGAGAGAGAGAGAGAGAGAGAGAGAGAGAGAGGCGGTCGGCGAAGTTCGAAATCGAGCCTCGCCAAATATATATATACATATATATACACGCATAGATCCGTCTGTGTCGGGAGGGACCAGCGCGAGTTGAACGGGCTTGCACTTTCATAAACTGCATTCATAACGAGAAGTGGCCTCCTTCAGAGTCCGGCCCGGAGGCGAAGTTACGATAGGCAATAACAAACTTTCGTATTCTTACCGCGACTCGAATGAATTTCTCCCCGCGAGCCCCCCCACCCCGGTTCATTTATATCAATTATGCCGGTCAAAGTAATTAAACGCGAGAACCGGGCGAAAAGAGACGGGGTGGCTTCGAGGCTCCGGGAGAAGGCGTCAACTTTTATTAAGAAGTTACCTATCGCGCCCCTGTATTCCTCGCACGTCCCCCGTCCGCGGGGAGACTCGCCCCTCAAACGGAGGGCCAGAGATACGAAGCGGGGAAAAAAATTTGTTTCGAGCTCTCTCTCCCACGGAATTATCTACCTCCGCCTTTTTCCTGCCGACTCTTTCGAGAATTAATGGATTCCCGCCTCGGATCCTTCGGTTATCCCGTTTAATACACCCCCTCTCTCTCTCTTTCTCTCTCGAATATTCCCGGTAATTCGCTTTAGTTCGAAACTCAGCCGGCAAAGGTACCGGAATTCATCTGTTTTCATCGAGCTGTTCTCGTCGACGCGCGAGAGACAGTGCGAGAGAGATAGAGCGCGAGAGACAAAACGAGAGAGAGAGAGAGAGCGAGAGACAGAGCGCGAGAGCGAGAGAGAGCGACAGACAGAGCGCGAGTGACAAAGCGCGACAGATAGAGCGCGAGAGACAAAGCGAGAGAGAAAGAGAGAGAGCGCGGGAAAGAGTGCGAGAGACAGAGCGCGAGAGCGAGAGAGAGCGACAGACAGAGCGCGAGTGACAAAGCGCGACAGATAGAGCGCGAGAGACAAAGCGAGAGAGAAAGAGAGAGAGCGCGGGAAAGAGTGCGAGAGACAGAGCGCGCGAGAGAGAGAGCGCAGAAGAGAGCGAGAGAGAGAGCGCAGGAGAGAGCGAGACAGAGAGAGAGCGCAGGAGAGAGAGACAGAGAGAGAGCGCAGGAGAGAGCGAGAGAGAGAGAGCGCAGGAGAGAGCGAGAGAGAGAGAGAGCGCAGGAGAGAGCGAGAGAGAGAGCGCAGAAGAGAGCGAGAGAGAGAGCGCGCAGGAGAGAGCGAGAGAGAGAGAGAGCGCGCGAGTGTACAATGCGCACGTGTACAGAGACTCCTAAAAGCTGGCCGCACGGTAAAAAAAAAGTAAAAGACGTTCGGAGCAAAGCAATCGTTTTTTGGATGCACTGAAAATTAATCTATTTCGTACCTCGAAAATTACACCGCGAGCGAACGGGTGACCGGATAGTGCATACGTAATTTAGCTTTTACGAATATTCGTATTCCCGTGATCGACGGCGTCCCGCAGGGGAATCATTCGCGAACGGGACACCCAGCGACCGTGGGCGGTTATGCGGGCGCAGGGTCCCCGAGGTGCCCGAATCGTTCGGAATCGGGTTTTATTTTTAGGTTTTCATCCGAGGATGTTATTGTACGAAGAGGCCTCATCCAGCGATGGCGACGAGACGATTTTTTGGAACGGCGAATGGAGCGTGAATATTTTTATTTTGTCGTGTAATAGAGCATTTGGCAAATAAGCTGCTTTTTAAATAGCGTAAATTCGTGTGGATATTGCCTAATCGTATGCATTTGAAATGCAGATATCGAATACATTCGTAATTGCTGCTTCAAACAAAGTTTATTTGCCAAATTCTGTGTTGTAAAAGTCGATAGAAATTTTCGCAGTTTGTGGATTTAAAAAATTTGGAAAATTTAATCTTCTCTGGCATTGAATGCATGCGGAATTTGAGCGCTTTAAATATTATATGAACTATTTAACCGTTTGCACTCGAAGTGCAAATCTGCAAACTGTAAATCTAAAATAATTTTTTCTGATTTAGCGAGCATTTATCGCGTATTTCCACTTTATATGACAAAGTGCATTTTATTGCATACGAAATCGAGTCTTGGAGCGACTCATACAACAGTCACACTTTCTAACCCTTTGCACTCGAAGCCATTTCAACTGTAAATCTAAGATAATTTCTTCCGACTTATCGAGCATTTATCGCGTATTTCCACTTTATAAGACAAAGTGCATTTCATTGCATACGAAATTGAGTCTCGCAGTAATCCGTACAACAGTTACACTTCCAATAATTTTGTCAATTTCTAACTTAAAAATCATGTTGGAACGCGACGCGACAATTTCACCGGTGCCTCGGACATCGCAATTGTCGCAGGTGCAACGAAGAAAATGATCGAGTATATGTACTCACGCGAACACTGACGCGGCTCGTCGGTCGCGTCGCCGCAGTCGTCGATGACGTTGCACACCTTGTTCAGGGCGATGCAGCGTCCGTTGCCGCACGGGAACTCGCTCTGCCGGCAGGAAAGCACCGTCGTCGCCATGAGAACGCAGACGAAGACCGGCCAATGAGTGTCTGGAACCAAACAAAGCCAAATCAGAACACATTTCAGCCGGAACTCCATCGAGAACCCTAATCACACCGCCTCACCCCCCCAATCCCCCACGATGCGACGTCTTCTCGATCTCGCTCGCCGAAATCATTGAAATGTACCTGCTGAGTTATTTATGGTATTTTAACTTAGAAACAATAATTATAGAAAATATAATATATTAAAAAAATAATATATTAATAAAAATAGAATATAATTATAGAGAAATTTCGCGACTCGGCGAGGAACGCCAGTTATTTTCTAAAATAATTATATAATAATATTCTATATTATTATATAATATTATATAATATAATTTCTATATTATTATATAATATTATATAATATAATTTCTATATTATTATATAATATTATATAATATATATAATTTCTATAATATTATATAATATAGAATAATTATATAATATTATATAATATAATTTCTATATTATTATATAATATAGAATAATTATATAATATTATGTAATATAATTTCTATATTATTATATAATATAGAATAATTATATAATATTATATAATATAATTTCTATATTGTTATATAATAATATTATATAAATATATTAATATATAATAATTTTCGAAAATAATATCGGCAGCCCCGGTTCGCGTTCCGTCTACGTATCCCGAAGGAAGATCCTTCGTGCCAGATCGATTTCAGCCGGGGAATCTACGTTCTTCGTAGAACAAAGATCCATTTCCGCAAAGTCGAAAGATCGCGGTCGAAAGTCTGTTCGGCTTCGGTTACGTCGGAGTTGCAGATATATTTATCCGGCGGTTAGTGGACCGTTCCGATTGTTTATTAAAAGTTCCCGCCGGTCCCGATGCAAATGGGGATCCGAGGCATAAATCTGTAACGAAGATAGTTTCAGATCGGCCTGCAGAAGTTCCCCTTGTTTTTCGCAGCGGCGCGTCTCGCCGCGGCCGACAGATTCGCGAGATGTTTACGCCGGGCGAAACACGCGAGAAACCATTCAAATCTTCGCCGGACGATCGCGGAGCCCGTTATTTACGCAAGCAGGCGAGATTCGGCCGTCGCCCCGGAAGCAAACAACGCATCCGTCTTCATAGTTCCGCGCGGGAAAACGATGCGGAATTTATCATTCCGCCGCAGGTTCCCGTACGAAGAGCGACCCCCTCTGTCTCGAATCGCGGATTGATTTGACCCGTTTCCAGTATTTGCTCGGAGGCCCCGTCGGCCACGGAAGAAGAATAAGATAAACGGGCTCCGTTCTTTGATTGATGGCGAGATGGATTCCCCCGGCGCGTTATCCTCCGACGGATTCGAACGCGCGGCGCGCTGGGAAATCGCTTTCTCGCCGCAGCGCCGTTCGCCGCGGTAAACGCGTTTTCTTCTTCTTCTTGTTCCAATTAATTTTTCACGGTTTCCGATCCGACGCCGTTTCGGATCAGAGATAAACCGTTTTGGGGGGTGGGATACTAGCGGGAACTTTATCAATGCTGGATTTATGGACCGTTGGAAGCAGCTGTTTTATATTTAGCTTGCGAAAATAACGACGAGACATTTGTTCCGATTTTATTGGCATTTTATTCTGATATTTACAGGGTGCCCCGAAATTGTGATACTTGAGGGAAACGAGGGGTTACTGAGGGGTCGTTTGAAGCAAATTTTTACTTAGCGAGAGTGCAATCCGCGGCTTTGACAAGGTTATGTCAAGGTCTGTCAAGCTTTATCAAGCTCTGTCAAGGTCTGTCAAGGTCTGTCAAGGTCTGTTAAGGTCTGTCAAGGTTCCTGAGGTCATTCGAAGCAACTTTTTCCTCTGCGAGAATGCAATCCGCGGCTTTGTCTAGGTTATACCAAGGTCTGTCAAGCTTTATCAAGGTCTGTCAAGGTCTGTCAAGGCCTGTCAAGCTTTATCAAGGTCTGTCAAGGTCTGTCAAGGTCTGTCAAGGTCTGTCAAGGTTTGTCAAGCTTTATCAAGGTCTGTCAAGGTCTGTCAAGGTCTGTCAAGCTTTATCAAGGTCTGTCAAGGTCTGTAAAGGTCTGTCAAGGTCTGTCAAGGTTCCTGAGGTCATTCGAAGGAACTTTCTACGAATTATAATGAAGAAATGCCGACCAACAAGAGGCGAGTTCAGCTCTCTATACATTTCCCAAACATGTCGCAAAATATATTGCCAAAATATTAATAATCGGTCTTCACGAAGACCGATTTAATTCTCAATTTAATTACCCTATTAACAGCTCAAAGTGCCTCGTTCACGTCTCTCGCCGGCGAAAACGACTCGTTCGAATCGCCCGGCCCCGGAGATTCCGATTTTTCTTCGAACGCTTCGCCGTACCTCTTCGTTTTCCAACGCTCGCCGGCCATTTTCCACGGGAAATTTCAATCGACGAATTTTTCCGGAAAATATGAACGAGAAAATACCGTTTCCTCCGCGCCGAAACCTCGTCGATTTCTCCGAAGCGAAACCAAAAAGGGGCGAGGATCGGGAGACCTCGGCGGCGCGCGGGGATTCTTTTTTCTCCGCTGGGGAAAGCTTTATCGAAGAAAAGAAAAAGAAGGAAAGCCCGTGTTTTCTTTAGCGCGGCGGTCGGAATTCCAGCGGAAAATTACCAGGGAAAAAAAAGGAGGAAGAGAAGAGTCGGCCGGATGGCTCAGGAGAAGTGGGTCACGGGAGAGGGGTGAGAGAGGGTTGTTTCGTGGAATAAGAAAGAGAAAGAGTAGTCGAAAGGGCAAGAATCGATAAGGTGCGGATATCGAGGCACGTCCTCTCGATTTCCGGCAACGTCTGAAAACCGTCGACGACGTCGTTCGACCGGCTAGGTCCGACGTATATATATATATATATGTTATATATATATATATATACATATATATAACATCGGATAGCGTTATCCGCAGAGAAGCTCGATTCCACCCCTTTCGGAAGACAGCTCCTATCGGAGCCCTCCGGTCACGTATCTGGTGTTCCGCGATCCACGACGTACGACCCCGTCAAATTAATTCCCCAGGCAGCTCGTTACACACCCTTACGATCCGAAATCTAGGTCGCGCATCTCCGCCCTTATCTGCCGCCCCGTCCCTTTGCCTCGGCGGCGCTCTTCGAGAATGGTCCGATGTGCCGCGAAATAAATTGCAAGCGTGGGAGATGAAAATGTTCGACGGAAACCGGAAACGGAGCACAGTGCGCGCCCAGTTACTGTGCTGCGGTGCACCTCGATTCTCGGGCAATATTATGGACTTTATATTCATCGAATAAGACGCGGAGGCTCTTCGAAATAGTCCGATGTGCCGCGAAACAAATTGCAAGCGTGGGAGATGAAAATATTCGACGAGAACTGGAAATGAAGCACAGCGCGCCCAGTTACTGTGCTAAGGTGCACCTCGATTACTGTGCGGTGACCCTGTCACTGCGGCTTTCGTTTCTCTCTTCGTTCTTCTCGGGCAATTATGGACTTTATATTCATCGAATAAGACACGCAGGGCTCTTCGAAATAGTTCGATGTGCCGTGAAATAAATTGCACGCGTGGGAGATGAAAATATTCGACGAGAACTGGAAACGAAGCACAGCACGCCCAGTTACTGTGCTTTATTTATTTATTTATTTATCTTATTTATTTTTATTTTTTTATTTATATCATTTATTTTATTTTTAACACCTATTCACCTAATACATATTTACTACCTATTCGCCGCGCAGAAACCGGTTCGAGACGCACTTTACGAAAGCAGTAATTTCAGCGGAAACAGAACGTACGTAAGATTGAACACGCGATCGGTGAAATAAGAGGTATTTCCCGCGATCGGAGCGTGACTTTCCGAAACCCGTTTGCTTTCCCAGGAAGATTGCCAGAAGTAAATAGCAGGAGAGCCATAGACGTCGGAGCTCGAACGAGCCATAGACCCCGGGGATTTTCATTTTTACTGTTCGTTTTTTGAAATTCGAGGAGCTCATACCCGGCGGCAGAGGAGGGAGGGGGGATCGGACGGAACAAACCCGACGGAAATTTAACTTTAAGCATCGGACGGGCGCGGAAATTTTAATGCAAAGTCGCCGTAAGTACCTGAAACGTCGTGACGGCGGAGAGAAGATCGAAAAGAAAAGACGTTTTCTGGACGTCTCGAGGACGCTTTCGCGCGTTCCTCCCCCCTGCCTCCCCCCGCCGCTTAAACTTATCCGTCCGAGAGTAGCCGAGAAAGTAGAATCGCGTTTCTCTTCTCTCTCTCTCTCTCTCTCTCGACTTCGTTTTTCCGTCTTTCCCGGCTTTCGGGTCACGTAATTTCCCTTCTTCCGCGGGGAAAACAACGTCTCGGGAGCTTTTCGAAACCGCCAGGAATATCATGCGATCCCCGAATCATACTTGAACCGCGCGGACTTCGTGCGTTTGTCTTCGGAATTGGCAAGCGAACAGAGAACAAGAATTTAACCCTTTCGATACTACGGGCCACTATAGCGGCCTTCCATAAGATGCCACCGAGGTACTACGGGCCACTAAAGTGGCCCTCCATAAAATGCGACTGAGGTACTACGGGTCACTATAGTGGCCCTCCATAAGTTCGATCGTTTGTAGCGAATAAAGTCAGTGCTTACTGCAGAAAGATAATTCACCTTATTTTTCTCTCCACAAGGGATAAATAGATATGCCTTTATTTTTTTTTCAATTTTGTTTAACTTTATTTGGATTAACCCTTTTGCTACGGGCGGTTTCTCCGCTGCAGTACCCCCGCAACGATCGGCGTCTTGTAGCGTGCAGTGATGTCGCAGCGCGCCGTTCAGCAGAAGTACCGCGGCGGAAAATCCGCCCGTAGCGAAAGGGTTAAACAGGGAACGAAAGAATTTGAACATTAAACCGCTTTAATACGTTCGGTTTTAATATGGCCGCTGTTTTTTATGCCGCGCGTGTCACGCGTGGGCGACGCTAATTTTTAACTAGGTTTTCGAAACTCATTTTTATAGTAATATATAAGAAAGGATTGAATGTTACTAGGATTTGTAGAACAC